TTTGGCCCCTTGAGTGTGGCTCTTCCACAAAATACCGACTTCTGCGCATGGGCCACGAAGTTTCAATCGCACTGTACGTGCGCGGCCGCACGTGGTATTTTGTGGAAGAGCCACACTGAAGGGGCCAAAGAGCCCCATGTGGCTCTCGAGCCGCGGTTTGCCGACCACGGGTTTAGGGGAAATGGGACTGTGTGAGAATCTCAGATTAGCGCCCCCCCGCCCCCCCAGGCCCACACCCAGCCACACGCGGTGACTCGATGCAGGTGTCATTGTCCTTGGCTGGGGCTGTGAGCAGGCTCCTTGGCCAGCAGCTCTGGCTGTTTGGTTCCGTGTTTGAGGGCAGGTGACGCTGCACGGGTGGCGTCCTTTCTCGTCGCTCTCCTGGGCTGTCACACAAACTTCCAGAGAGGACCCTGCGTGGGAACCGATTGCACACGTGATTCTCAGGACAGTAAAGGGACTTGTAAACCCACTAGGCACTAGCATGAGGGCCCCATCACACAACAGATCAGAGCTGCTGGGAAGGCTGATGTGTTACTGCTGAGTCTAGAATTTAGATTTTCTGACAATATTGACATTTCTATAATTTCCTTTCTCCAAGGTATGATTTTTTTTACCTTGAATGATATTAAAACCTTAAAATGGTAAGATAGAGACTGCCCCAAACTCCCCACTTTGGTGGTGGCTGGAGTCAGGGAGGAAAAGCAGGCGTGTCAGCGCTTAAAGAGGTCAGAGCGAGGGAGCGACAGGAGCCAGCGAGTGTGGTGATGCGGACACCGCCTCCCGGGCACACCGGGGTCCCTGTGCGTCGGGGTCCCCATGGAGGAAGAGCCGCTGTGTCTCAGCCATTCCTCCAGGTAGAAAGGTGCGGCACACTCATCCCGCGGGGACTGCCGAGTGGCCCGCCTTCCTACGCCAGGTCTGACCTGGGCCGGTCACCTCCCCGGCCGCGTCTCCTCCAGTGGGGGCGGGTGGGCTCCTCTAGGGCCTTTCTCTGACCTCAGAACCCTGTTTCTTCTCAAACTGCTGTCCATTGCAAGCATATCCTCTGTCCATTTTGGAGCAGGTAGAAGCCTTTAGAACAGCGGTTCTCAACCTGTGGGTCGGGCATGGGTGTGAGTCCGACCGTCGCCTGTAAGCTGAAGAGGTTCTAGAACAGCGGTTCTCAACCTGTGGGTCACGACCCCTTTGGCGGTTGAACGACCCTTTCACAGAGGTCGCCTAAGACCATCCTGCATATCAGATATTTACATTACGATTCATAACAGTAGCAACATTACAGTTATGAAGTAGCAACGAAAATAATTTTATGGTTGGGTCACAACATGAGGAACTGTATTTAAAGGGCCAGAAGGTTGAGAACCACTGCTTTAGAACAATGGTGAAACCAAACGCCCGTGTAACTTCTTTAGAAATCCAGAGCTGGGGGGTCAGGGGGAGGGTGTAACCGTGCCCATAGGGCGGGTCCTGAAATGTGGACACAGCTGTGGTTAGAGGCAGAGCCCGGCGGCGGGCTTCCAGGCGTCATTTCTCCTCCCGCGCTCTCTGTCTGGCCCTTAGGTTTACCAGGACCCCTGGCAACGCTTGGCACCTTTGCAGGTTAAACATCACAAAAACAGCCTTAGTTAAAACCCATTCGCCAAATCGAGGTTCTCCTAATTCTAAATGGTGTTTCCCCAGGTCGCTATGAATTGTTGAAATTTTCCCAGGTCCAGGGGTCACTAGCAGACATGGATTAGAAAGGGCTTCGGGTTGGGAACTGACAGAAAATCCCAGGTCCGTCAGAGGAAAAAGAGGGCGGCATTAATAGACAGCCAAGTTGGAACTGAGAGAATTGCTCTCAAAATCCAGGGCACACCGAAATCGCTTAGCACCGAGGGATAACTTACACTTAGCAAAACCCCCCACCCCCCCACCCCCGCCGCATAAACACTCCTCCTCACATCTGTAAGATCTGGGAGTTAAAAGAATAGATCATTGCATTGTTCTCCCTCTTTCACTTTATTCTTGCTGGTTAGTGGAGAACTGACCTTGGGTAGGAAAATCACATTAGAACTTTGATAAGTTGCTTTTTGAAACAGTTGTTTCCATGCCACAGACATTTGGAGCAAAGGATGTTTATTGAAGTGCATTTTTATAGAAAATATTACAGAACCTGTAATTGAAAACTTACGGCAGGACTTTTGGAGAGTGATGTGTTCTTAATGTTTATTTGTGGATTAGCTGCACTTCCTTCTGCTGTTTAAAACCTTTGGCCGAGGCACGGAGTTCCAGGAGCTTTGCAGATCTAAACTGTTTCGTGGAATGGAGTATTTAGTGCTTAAATAATGTATAAATCCAGTTGGACAGGAGCTGCCTGTCAGTTTTATTAACTTTGACCCTTTCTCCCATTATAAAGATGCTTCGGTAAATATTTAATGGGGCCCTTATAGATCTTGACATCGGAGCGGTGTTCCTGGAAACTGGGAGAAGTGTACGTGATTAACAGATGTCGCCTAATCACCGTGAGTCAGCTTTCTGGGGAGAGGAGTCCTTCCACCCACATGTGCCCTTCGGGGTGCCGGGTCCTTGGAGGCTGGCCAAGATGCAGAGGCTTCAAAGGAACCTTCCGGAGACAGCCAGCAGCCAGCATGCATTTCTGCTGTTTTGTTTTTCTTTGTTTGTTTGTTTGCGCAAATGATCGAAATGATGCCAGGTGGGCAAAATCACCGGCCACTCTGCCTAGTTAGCAGGCCTCTCCCACTCAGAGAGTCAGCAGGGCCGGAATGGCTGAGCTTGCATGGACCCTGACAAGGTACAGAGCGGAGGAGAGCCAAGGAGAGCCGCCGCCCTGAGCCAGGAGGGGACCCCTGCCAAGCTGTCTTTCCCTTTAAGTCCATAAAGCCCCGTGCATATTGCACTCATTGCAGATTCTGGTGGGAAAGATCGAAATCCAAGTAGCTGACATTTTGAAACATTGTCTTTCAAACTTGTACTGTCCCTCGCTGCCATTGATTTCCCATTTAAGAACTCTGTAGGAGAAAAACAAATTTGAGCAAAATTCATTGGTCTAAGATGAGTTGTTAAAGCCAAATTATGCCCCCCTTTTCCACCATGAGGGGAGCTCCATTTTTATTATGAATGTGATACATCTTTGTCTTGTATTGTGCAGCCATAAGGCTCCCGCAGCAAATCGACCACGTAAATCAAGAGGCTGTTAAAAAGCAATATGGATGCTCCAAACACAGACATTTCAGGCTTACTGGGTGCCTGGATGCCTTCATCTTTATAGCCACTTGCAAGAAGCAGGCCATTTCGTTTGGTTTTGTTTTCTCTCGTTCTCTATGTGTGTGCAGCCAGTGGCTTTAGGTGAGGCCATTTATTTTTCAGAACATTATTACCCTTTGCATCCGGGGCCCAGCCCCTTTTAGCCGGCGCTCACCAGTTTCATTACCATGAACTGTATGCCGAGTAGCCGACTCTGCAAAGGAAATCTATCCTTTGAAGAGCATTTTGAAAAGAAATTGATTCAGTGACTCAGAATGAGTTACTATTTGTACGTTCAGTTAATTCCAAATAAGTGTTTGAAAGACCTTGCTTAATTTGAGAAAGGAGGAGGAAACATACTAGACGTTATAAATAGTCTCAGTCCAAATTCTCAGGTTGGCATTTTCTCATTTGAATGTGTTGTTTACATCTGTTCAAAATTGGGATACCTTTCAAGGATAATTTTATTATAGACAGATTGATGACAGCTCTTAGGATCTAAAATACAAAAGTATGGGATTTTAAAAGGAAGATAGGAGTCAATATCACATGTCAAATTGAATATAAGCTTCATTTGTCAACGAGTGAGAATTAGTTGTATTTAAATCAGAATATCCTGGTGGTAGGAGTTGGGGGCTGGGAGATTGCACTGAGCACAAGGGAAGTGTCTGCAGTGATGGAAACGTCTGTATCTGGATTTGGGTGGCAGTTGTACAGATGTGTACATATCAAAACTCATCCAACTGGACACTTAACGTGTACTTTGTATTTTATGTAAATTATAACTCAACAGGGTGGATTTTTTAAGTCCTGTTTGGTTTAGAATTAGGCAGTATTACTTCTCATTTCCAATAGAGAAATTAAGGTCCAGAGAAGTAAAATGATCTCCTAAGTAAAGCCACAGCTCAGCAGTTTGTCCAGAACAAAGCAAAGGCAGCTGGCCCTGAGCCGTTTACAGTGTGCGCTTCCTTACCCAGTGTATCCATTTGTGTGCGAGGCGTGAGAGTAACTTCTTCATCCCCTCCCCCCAGGGAGCCTGTACCCATTGTACCCATATCTTCCCGAACTTATTATGGTTGATATTGTATCTTAACCACTGAGAACACTGCCCAGCGCTTCTGAACCCGGACTCCGGATATGTTTGAATCTGTTCACCAGCGGTCTTCTGCCCCTGGTTTGCTGTAGTCACTGTGAGTTATGTGGCTTTTAGTATCAGCAGGACACAACAGTAGCAAGAGTTCCCAGAACTAATTAATCTTTAAGAACGAATGGATCTTCTTATAAAGAATGACATTGGTTTTAAAACTATTTATATAAGCATATATGAATAGTAGTAAAAAATAAAGTAAAAATTACTCTAATTCTACCACTTAGAAACACACTATTAATATTTAGAGAGCATCTTTTTGAGTGTCTCTCTGTTTAAAAAGTAACCTATTGGTTTGTTTTTCAATTCAGCAAAATGATAGAAAGTTCTTTTAATATTCTAGCCAATTCCCCGGATAGTGTTGGGTGTTTAGATTGTTTCCAGTTCTTCATCATGTAATGCTGTGCTGAGCAACCTCATTCGTGTTTCTTTTCCTGTTCTCTGATTATCTCCCTCTCACTGCATTCCTTGAAGCAAACTGCTAGCCGCTGTATTTTAAATGACTTGAAATGTTCGGAAGGGGTAAGATGTATGGTGTTGCTAGTTGAATGCCCCCGTCCTGCCTTTCCCGGGGTCATCCTCCTTTCCCTGTTCTGTTTCTGGGCAGTTGCAGTACCACGCAGGCCTGGCATCCGGCCTTCTGAATCAACAGTCGCTGAAACGCTCTGCTAACCAGATGGGAGTGTCTGCGAAACGCCGGCCCAAGGCGCAGCCCACCACGCTCGTCCTGCCGCCTCAGTGAGTAACCCTTAGAACAAGGGCTTTTGTCCTGGGCCAGCTCTGTGTGTGCTTGGTTTTGGCTAATTGAAAGTTATTTTTGCGAGATTGTTTTTTTCTCTTAAAATAGTATCTGTTAAAATTAGAAACCCAGCAGACAGGTAACATATTTTGCATAGATCTTAATTGAAGCAGTTAAAATACAGCTCATAGTGTATGATTTTGTGTGTGACTTTTCCACGTAGGATTTTAAGATTCCTCATAGCTGATTCTGTTTCCTTGTCCCATTTCCACAGTCGGCAAAGGGTAAGTGGCCAGCCAGCCAGGAGCACATTTTGAAGGCTACAGGATACCTAGCCACCTGCTGGGGCTGGCGTTAGAATGGGCACTAGGCTCACCTGTTTTCTTCTTCTTCTTTCCTTTTATCTTAAATATATCTTTACTAGAGGCCCAGTGCACAAAATTTGTGCACGGGCAGGGTCCCTAGGCCTGGCTGGTGATCAGGGCCGATCTGTGGGCGACCGGCGGGGCGATTGGAGGGCCCCCGCTGGCACCTGCCTTGGCTGGCCTGGGGCCTGTGGGCTGGGGGCAGCTCCTGTGTTGAGCGTCTGCCCCCTGGTGGTCAGTGCTCGTCATAGCGACTGGTTGTTCCACCGTTTGGTGGATTTGCATATTAGGCTTTTATTATGTAGGATTGATTTCAGAGAGGAAGGGAGAGGGAGAGGGAGAGAGAGATAAAAACATCAATGATGAGAGAATCACTGATTGGCTGCGTCCTGCACGTCCCCACTGGGGATCGATCTCTCAACCTTGGCATGTGCCCTGACCGGGAATTGAACTGTGACTGCCTGGTTCATAGGTCGACGCTCAACCACTGAGCCACACCAGCTGGGCACCTGTTTACTTCTTAAATAGAAATATATTGCTCTTCTTTTTTTCACTAGGAGAGAACTGTAAAAGGCTCATAAAGTGTGCAGCTTGGTAATTGTTTAACACATGTACACCTCCAGGTAGCTCTGGCCGGATCAATCCAGGTGGCCACCACTGCCCGAATCCCAGTCTGTACGCGTGACACCTCCCTCCCCAAGTGTAACACTATCTGACCTCACTCTTGAACGTATCTGTTCTTGAACTTCATATGGATGGGTCACACAATACGTAATATTTCATATCAGCTTTTTTGGTTCCTTTTGTAGCGGGGTAGTATTCCTTCCAAATGCCACAGGTGGCTCATTCACTTCCCTGTTGGGTTACTTTGTACCAGGAGCCCCTAGGTGGGGACGCAGGCTCACTCAGTGATGTGGGATCAGAAATGCGGGCACAAGTCTTTGCTGGTAGCTTTCCTGTCAGAACGTGCCCTCCCGAGAGGGGCCGTCCTCTTCAAGGCTGGACTTGGACTTGAAACACATTCCCCTGCTCATCCTGCCCTGCAGTTATTTCATTTACATCCTCAGTTACCAACTGACCTAAAAATGTCCAATCGGAAGAGTGTTTGCAGATGAAACTCAGGTGTTTGCCTTCATTTACTTTCTGTTTGATTAGCAAACACTTATTGTGCTTGCTATCTGCCAGGCACTGTCCTAGGCTCTGGGGATAAAATCCGGAGCAAGACAGATGTGGTCCCATCTTCCTGGAGCTTTTCGTTTACTGGGGGAAAAGGCCAAAAAAGGGCACCCTTAAACGCATGAATAAATACAGTAATGCCGCCATTTCTGGTTATGACTGGCGCCTAGGAAGGGAACATGGAGGGTGGTGGGAGTGGACGTGGGGGAAGCTTGGAGAGTGAGGAGGAGAAAGGCCAGTGCGGAGCTGGGGGGTGACAGGACAACAGGGACCTTCCCTCTCGTGCGGACACCGTGGACCACATCTCGGTGATCTTCAGGTTTTCTTCACAATTAACATTTGCTTCCAGGATAGAGTGACCGAACCAGCTGGCCTCCGCAGGTTAGTGTGCGCCTGCGGCAGGCACAGGTGCCATATTTTCCCACGACAGGGGCCACCTCTTTGAGTGACGCGAGACAGTGTTAACCAGGAGCAGAGAGCTTCTTAGGCATGTGACTCTGTCTGTTGTCCTCATGTGTTGAGGTGGTGATTCTGGAAATCTCAACTTCCAACCTTGGTTGCAGGCTCGATCCCCGGCCCTGGTCGGCCGCGTGCAGGAGGCAACCAATCGATGTGTCTCTCTCACATCGATGTTTCTCTCTCTGTGTCTCTCACCTTCTTTTCCACTCTCTCTAAAAACCAGTGGAAAAATATCCTTGGGCGAGGATTAACAACAACCAAAGATAATAAATATATAAATAACTTAAATAACTAAATCTCAGCTTCCAGCTCTCAGAAGTCTAATGGGCCTTGTAACTTGTCATTTTCTCCGCGTGGATTGTCTACTGAGGCAAGACTCTGGCGAGAGTGAAAGGCTTTCTAATGGTCCCATAAGACTGGAGCCAAAAAGTGTGTGTTGCTAACTCTCTCTTGACAAAAGTCCGTGCTCAGTCCATCTGTTCAGCATTTGTTCATTTGCATTGGCTTGAAACCTGCTTACAGGTGACATGCTATTATGAGGACACTCGGAAACTATTTTAAGCACCAAGGCAATCAACAGACTCTGTTCTCATGCCAGCAAAAAGAGGTGCTCACAACTGTCATTATACATTTATAATGAATCACTCAAATACCCCGTTTCAAAGAGAAAAGTGGTTGCTGTGTCCTAAGAATACGACTTTGAAATGATTTCCTATACGTAGGAGCCTGTTTCCTGTGGAATTGACTGTCACCTTTTCACATCATGGAGCTTTCTGGGCTCACATTATCCTGGAAACCCTTTATGGAACTGCTGCCCCGGGGGCAGGATCTATAGTCAAGGCCGTTCAGGGCTCTTTCATGGAGCACCTGCTGGGTGCCAGTCAGTGTGCAGACATCAGGATAGAAACACCAAGAAGACTTCGCTGCTGCTTGATTGCATTATAAACATATTTAATTAGAAATAGGACACTAGTAATATATACATTATCTTAGGTTTTTGGGAAAATGAGAACAAAAAAGAAAAAGAAATAAGACTTCACCCAGAGAAAATTGTTAAGGTTTTGATGGATATTGTTCTAGACTGTTTTCTCTGCACATGTAAGTATAATTTTTAAAAACCAAAAAACAACCTCCAAAAAGGATTGGATATCGTTCTGTATCACAGCTCAGTATTTGTTGGTGGAGCTGTTAGATTTAAGGTAAAATAGAATATTTAAAGTTGCATATTCATCACCCGTGGCATAGTTGTATTTGTAGAACACGAATTCGAAGTTTGTATTGTAAGCACGGCATAACTATTAAATAACTTTGTCATTAGGAAAACCCCTGGAACTCCCTTATGAAACAACACCTAAACCCTCTCAGGTTGCTCCATTCGTTGCCCGTTGCTGTCTGACAAACTGCCCCAGTGCGCAGTGGTTAGCGCCAGCACGCACAGCCTCTCACCTTTTCTGTGCGACTGGAACCCGGGAATGGCACTGGGTGGTCCGGCTCAGGTGTCTCAGAAGGCTGTGCTGGACAGCGCCAGGGCTGCAGCCACGGCAGGATGGCCTGGGATTCCCAGGTCACTTCAAGGTGGCGCACTCACTGGCGGGCGAGCTGGTGCTGCTATTGATGGGAGACTTGGTTCCACTCCACAGAGGCCTCTCCACAGGGACTGGAGCATCCACGTGCCTCGCGGGTGACGTCTCCCAGAGCAGGAGCCTGAGAACGAGAGCCCTCGCGTCTCTCCTTTTGATGACGGAGCCTCGGCGACACGGAGCGCCAATGCCACCCGATCCCGTGGGCCAGGCATCCAGGGAGGATGCGCCAGGGGAGGGAGGAGACCCTGGGAAGGAAGGGCCGGAGGAGTCGCAGCCAGGAGACTGCAGGGGGAGAGGGCGGGGCTGGGAGCCCAGGCAGTTACTTTCCAGCAAACATCTCGGGCCCTCACGTGGCTGGCCCTCTGCGCTGGGCTGGGGGTTTGGAGATGAGCAGGTATAATGTTGGCTTTTAGGACGCGCAGAGTGGAAACAGGCGCAAACAAGCAGGAGAGAATCGGCAAAGTGCCACGGCTAATGATGGTCCAGCCGTGCCTGAGATGGCCGTGGCCCGGCACTGAGAGACCTGCTCAGGGAGGCCCGCCATCCCCCACCTGCTCCCAGCTGCCAGGGGAGCAGGGGGAGGCCTTGCTTCATTAAGGGAGAAGGTTTGCTTTTTAACTAGCGCAAGCGGCAGTGAAGGACCTGGCTGGGCCCTCACTCGCCCTGCTCGGCACTTAATGCCAGGCTCCTGGGCTTGGGCAGGGGCTCCTGGGCATAGGCAGTGGCCCTGGGTTTGGGCATGAGCTTCTGGGCTTGGGCAAGGGCTCCTGGGTGTGGGCAGTGGCCCTGGGTTTGGGCATGAGCTTCTGGGCTTGGGCAAGGGCTCCTGGGCATAGGCAGTGGCCCTGGGTTTGGGCAGGGACTGCTGGGTGTGGGCAGTGGCTCCTGCCAGCAACCAGAGGGCAGTCAGGCTGCAGCACCAGAACCGGCTCTGAGTGCCGAGACTGAGACCACAGGGCCGGCAGGGGTGCAGGCCCCTGGGGCGGTGTGGTTTTTAAATGCAGCACTCCGATTCCTGTGTCCCAATAGGACTGGTGGGATCAGTGATCCAGAGCTGGCTCCCCCTCCAAAGAAGCTTGTGAGAAGACACAGATGTGCTTGTTGAGAGATCTTTTATCACGTGAGCTCTCAGAGGGCACTGACGGCAGCTCGCTCCCTGGCTCCCGGTGTTCACGTGGAGGCTTTCTTTGGTCTTTTTTGGTTAGTCTTCTCCCAAGGATATTTTTTCCATTGATTTGTAGAGAGAATGGAAGGGAGGGGAGAGACAGAGAGAGAGAGAAACATCGATGTGAGAGTGACTCATTGATTGGTTGCCTCCTACATGCGCCCGACTGGGGCTGGGGACCAAGCCTGCAACCAAGGTACATGCCCTTGACCGGAATCGAACCAGCGACCCTTCAGTCTGTAGGCCGATGC